GCAAAGTAAACGGCACCAAAGGTTTCATCTACTGTTGATCAGGGTGGAATAAATCGGCCTCATAGACGTCGGACATGTGCAAGACCTACATCAGTGTTTGAGAACGCATGAGCATGGCTTACGCAGATGGCTGAAATGAATTTATATCATTTTACTATGCACGTTTATGAGTGGTAGTCGAAGAGCATGGCGCAAACCATACAGATGGACTAGCGTCGAGGATTACGACAGCTTTTTAGTGGAACGATAGTGAGCTTCTAAAAGCTTAAAACAGCCATTTGATCGATTATGCTCTTTGAAAGGTGCTTCGTCCGTCTGTAATTATTCGCAGGATGAACTTCAGCAAGGTCTTTTCCTCAATCAACATTTCACATTTCCCTCGACGGTAATAAGCACCGCATGCTCGAAAAAATCCCCGTGCCTCGGCTCAAAATATAGCGATTTCTCAGTTGATGCCATTGCGTGACCGGTGCCCTATATAAAGCCGTCTTCGTTTAGGGCCAACGAACGTGTCAGATTTGTCCATCAACCTGGTCGGTGCATTGGTGGTGGTGAAATTGCTCCCCTAAGACCCATCCATCTGCTCAATTTACGCTGTACTGAAATGAAGTGCACCATTTATCACGAACCGATCTTCGAGGTATTGCAGCCGCCCTCTTATTAACTTTTTTTTACCTCTGTGATGAGCGCAGGGCTATGAAAGGGCAAAATTCGGGCATTTGATGTGCGGAATGGTGCCAAATTGCTCCCCTTGCTCCTGTTCGCATCGCATCTCACCAACTTCCTTGTTCCTCATCCTTCCAGTCACCATATCTTCTTCATAATTCATACAGTTCACCTTGAAGATGGTTGACCATCGCATTTCGGTCAGCACCCATCCTTCCTCTCTCCCGCTCAAAGGTCCGTGCAATCTACGAATATTTCCCGAAACAAGGAAAACTGATGTCATAATTTCAGAAAATCTTCCAATTTTTCTCAGCCAAAAAAACTTCCACCTCTCAAGTCTTCTGAATCCAGAATAAAATTTCATCAAAGATTCCTTCTTTTGTCCCGAAAACCGAAGATTCAGCCCACACCGTTGCGGAAGGGGCCGAAGGACGGGAATGTTTTCAATTTTTTACGATCCTCCCATTCATGAAGTCCCGATACAAGTCCCCTACCGTCATACGTGTGAGATACCAGGGGCCGTATGCAACAAGCCCGACGCCTGCCGAGGGATATATCCCCTCAGATTGCGGGGCTTGTTGCATACGACTGAGGGGATATGTCCCCTCGCGGGCGTCGGGGCTTGTTGCATACGACTGAGGGGATATATCCCCTCAGACCTGCGGGGCTTGTTGCATACGGCCCCAGTTCACAGATACGACTCCCTACCCTCCCCCTCTTCATGGCCGCTTATTAATATTTGTTTTTAAGACCAGTTGACGCACTCTAACTCGAATCCGTCCACTTTTTCTCCTTTCCCTCCAGAACGGCCGTCGAACGAGGGTATGAGAGAGGGAGGGTCGGGGGGAGGGTGAGCGAATACATATTTGTTTGTTTCAAGAAAGGACAATTTTCAGTCTTGCTTATTTCATGCTATTCAGGTTTTTGTCGAAATTGTCAAAACAAAACTGAACCAGTCCAAGACGATCTCTCTTTCCCACATCCACGAGTCCACTTCGAGCTTTTC